TCGCGTTGCCAAATCGCGTCCGGTCTGTATGTTAGAGTTATAAACCCAAATTAATTTTTTGGAGCCGATTCGCTCCGAGTCTTGGTTGAATGACTAATTATACCTTGAATCAGTCATGCATCCAATCTGGTTCGGTAGAATGCTGAAAAAGTGAAAAGTTTTATGTGTGGTACACATAAAACTACTGACTACTGTATTGTCATTCGTTCAAGGTGTTCAAGAGCAAAACATAAAGGTAATCAGATAGCGAAAAATAGGTCGGTGTTGGAAGTAGTTTCACAAGATTTATCCTTAAAAACAGGAATTACGCATAATAGTCAGGCAAATAAATAAGGATTTTGGAAGGAAAACTAAAGAATTGTAGAGATCCTTGTTCCGGAATTGTCATTGTGTCAAAGATGGCGGTGCCAGAAGACAGTGTGCATACTGTAAAAACGAAACGATTAAAAACTGACATTAATATCAACGAAATAAAGAGCATTAAATGCTCAGCGGATAATTCATGTCTTCTCGTTGCAAGGAAAGATTCAACGCTGCATGTTTTGCATGTGAAAACTGGAGAAACAAGCTTCGTTTCTGAGCAAGTCAAAGAGTGAGTTTGGACTATCTTCCTTTTTTGTGCTGTTTGCTTTCATGATTTTGCGTTTTATTTTCACATATTGATTTGCTCATCCTGTACTAGTTTATGTACGGAGATATACAACCTATGAATAGAACGTTGCATAGTATATACCATTATCAATTATGCACATGCAAAGTTTTATTTAATTGGTGGTTTGCAATCAATCCTTGAGCTGTATAATGTCTCAATCAATTCCACGGGTGCCCAACACCCCCCCGGGCGTTTGTCGGGCTTTTGTCATTTTGGCGAAAAAACATTGCAAATGCCCCAGTATAGGGTCCAAATAATGCAACAAAATCCCCACCCTTGGGGACTTACATTGATGCAAATGCCCCACCCTTGGGGGACAAAATATAAGTTTTCTGAGGATTTCTGATCCAAAAAATCGAATCCAAGCTCTATCACGTATCAATATATCTGTATTTAAAATCGATTCTATAGCCATTTCGTTTTAAAACGTTTTTAATTAAAATATTGAAGTCAGTCTCAAAACTTTATATAGCAATATCACACTGCAGAAGTAAGTCAATGTATCAACAGGATGGACAAGAAAAAAGTCTTGTGTATGTCCGCCATGATTAATTTGCGATACGCACGCTCATGTAAACATGCGTACTAAAGTACGGCTAAATGGCGAAACAAGCAATAAATATTCGACTTTTTAGCCTCGAGCAAATTCCCCACCCCGGGGCTAACTTGCAGAAAGCAAATGCCCGACCCTGGGAACAAGTACAGTTGAGAATGCCCGACAAACGGGGGGGGGGGGATGGGCAACCATGGAATTGATTGAGACATAAGACAAAGATACGGAGAGCAAGTTTGAGGAAAACGAGTTTGAAAGACAATAGCTGTTTAAGTCCATCAGATTCACCATCATCATCACCACCACCATCATCAGAACCACCATCATCAGAACCACCATCATCAGCACCATCTTCATCTTCACCACCATCATTGATCATGGTGATGATGATTGTGGTGATGGTGATAGAGTGTTGATGGTTGTGATAGAGTGTTGATGGATGATAGAGTGTTGATGGTGATAATGGTGGGTGATGATGTGGTCATGTTGATGGTTCTGGAGATGGTGGTGGTGATGATGATGGTGATGGTGGGCAGGTGATGTATGATGATGGCAGTGTTGATGATGGTGGTTTGATGATGGTAGTGGCATTAGTGGTGGTGATGATGGTGGCGATGATGATGGTGATCAGGATGGTGGTGATGGTGTTGTTAACTTGGTGTTGGTTACTTGGTGTTGGTTAGGGGATTGTTCTTGCCTTCAGCTATCTGGCTTCTCACAATGAAATAGCAGGCCAGGTCATTTAACACAAATTTCTAGATTTATGTGGAGCACTCCTGGAAACACTTCAACGCTGAACAGAAGTCCGACCTTTGCTGTCTTACATCATGATGGAAGTGTTGAAGTATTTGACGTTCAAAAGAAAAGTGTTATCAAGAAACAAACAGAAGAGAAGTCTCTGACACATGTTGGATTGTTAACTATTGCAAACATTCAAGGATTATTGAAAGGAGAAGGTAGATTTTTTATTTATTTATGGAATTAACCCATTGAGCACCAGCACCCTCCCCTTGACCAGTAAAATTGTCTGGCATTAGACAGAGTAAAATAATAAAGTAGGGAGTATTATTGTGCAATGCCACTTAATAGGTTAGGCTGCAATTCACAGGGATGGATCCAGCATGATCTGGTAGGGGGGGGGGGGGGCTCTGGTGCAGACTGCCGAGTTGTGTCGCTCATGTGTGCCGCCCGCCCATCAACTACTGTATTTGAATTGTAATTGTTGTTCACAGTTCACTTATCATCATGTTATTACTCAAATTACTGTATCTCATTTTGTCTTTTTTGCTTTATCATAAAAATAGCACCCCCCCTGCACCCCTCTGGTCAGGGGGAGGGGGGTGTGCACCCCCTCCCAGTAAATCCATCCCTGAATTCACTCCTATAAACCCTTAGAAAACCTGCTTATGATTCTTAATCCAAATCATTCTTTTTCAGAAGTGTCTCTGAAATCATTTAAAATTATTGATTCTCAGCAAGTTTCATCAACAGACGATGACCATGTAGATCATGTGACATTGTTATTTGGTGGCTATCTTATTGTGGTGTTGTCGTTTGGCCTGGTTGCATCATCTGATCTTGTGAGATGGTGTGAGATTGTTAAGGATATATCCAGTGTACCATTCCTGTTGCCCCAACAAGCAATTGCTGATGTCAGTGTTGCCAAGGAGATGTTGTTTATCTTGTATCAACATGGAATGGTGAGTGGCAACAAAGGGTTCTTCTCTTAGTCTAGTCCCAGGTCTTCCCATGGGACTGGATAGATTTTGACCTGTGGGAGAAGGCTTAGTGGAATTTGTCAACTTGGTCTTAGTCCTACATGTATTGTCTTCAAATATTATAGATAGTTGTATACAACATGATAAATTGGACATTTTATGGATGGATTGATGCATTTCAATCAATTGAACAACATTCTAAAGGTACGATGATTCCACAAAGCATTTCTACATACTGTATATTTCTTTACTTGCTGACAGTTATATATTGTAACTTTCTCTTGTACAGATGGGATTGGACAACCTTCACCAAAACGACCAACAGCAAAAATCCTTGATGTTGATGACACTGCATTCACTCTTAATATCTGTGATGATAGGAACTATGTGACCGTTATTAGTGTAAATAAATACTTTGAGTTTTTTCCTTCAAATTTGGAGTCCAAGGATGGTGTGGTGAAAGCTACAGAGAGGGAGAGACCGGGTAGAAACCAGGAGTTGGAGCAGAATCTGTGTGGTGATGCATTTTGGCGAAGCGAGATCTCAGCAATTGCTAGAAAACTTGATGGTGATTCAGGTATAGTGTAGGTGATGATGGTGATGATGGTAGTGGTGATGGTAATGGTGATAGTGATGGTGGTTGTGGTGATGATGGTGGTAGTGATGATGGTGGTGATGATGACCATGATGATGATGGTTGTGATGGTGATCATGATGATGATGGTAGTTGTGATGGTGATGATTATGGTACTAATGGTAGTGGTGTTGATGAAAATGGTGATGGTGATGATGATAATGATGATGATCAAAATGGTGACAGTGATGGTGGTGATGATGGTAGTTGTGATGGTGATGATTATGGTAGTACTGTTGATGAAAATGGTGATGATCTTTCTTTTGTTAGACAAGACCACTAAGAAAGAAATCCGGCAACATTTGAAAACTAAAGAAACCGACCTAGATCACCCGTTTGTTGAAACACCATGGTCAATCATTATTTCCTCACCCCCCTGGATGAATGATTTTATAGTGATTGATCTGTATTCATCATCAGACTCATTCTTACTTTGGTTGGAGTCGAGCAACACTAGAGAGACATGTGACAATCATGGTGTTTTATGTTGTTGGGTTGAGTGGAGGGCAGAGTATCTAATTAATGTGTAAGTCCACACTCTTGCATTGCTTGCCGTTTGCTGCAAATTTTGATCCCTAAAACTTTCACGTCTACGACAGATTTTTGTGGACTACTACCTACATTGGTGCTTGTGTTTGAGATATAATTTCGTGTGTTGCACTTAGGGTTTTGTTTTGCACTGCAGGTTTTTAGAGAAGACGTTTGTTGCATCTGGAGGACATTCTACAAAACCTCTTTATCTTTTAACAAACAACGCGATAGCGGTACCCATATTTGATACCACACAAAATGAACTGGTTAATAAGGTATGATGGATTTGAAGTCTTTGTTGTCACCATCAGTTTACCATCATCACCCCACCATCATCATCATCATAAACATCATCCCCCCATTATCACCATCATTATCACCATCATCACCATCTTTACCCCACTATTATCATCATCACCATCATCATCAACATCTTCACCCCCATCATCACGACCACCACCATCATCATCACCACCATCATCATCACCATCTTGATCATTACACCATCCTCGCCACCACCATCATTATCACCATCATCACCATTATCATTTTGCCACCATTATTACCCTGTTATCATCATCATCACCACCACCATCATTATCACCATCATGACCATTACACCATTATCACTGTGCTGCCACCATCATCGGCATCATTACCTCTTTCCACTTAGATAATCACATACCAGAACGTGGCCATGGCAGAGAAATTATGCTACCTCAATGACTGGGATCATTTTGCTGTACCCATCAGCGCTCTCGAGGCTGCACTAAAACATGGCCAACTTGATACTGTCGCTTTTTATTTGAAGACTAAAGGCAAAGGTACTACAGCATTTCCAGTGGCGTACAGTTCACGAAATATTGCGGGGATTAGGTTGCCACCATACGAACACCTTTTCTAGCCTGAAATCATGATGGTTCTCTAAAATTTTTGCCGTAAATTTGATGCAATAATATAGCTTAATTTATAGCCTACCAATGCTCTAAAGTAAAAAATTATCGTGAAAGCTTTGTTATACAGTTATTCAGCTATCATGTTTTAAAGACTTTCAGAAATTACTGGGGGGAGGTTGCCCCCCTGGCACACCTAGTATTTACCACTGAATATGTCTGAAATTCAACTTGGCAATAAGTATGATCATATTGTAATATTTCCTGACCGTTTACATTTTCAACCAGCAAAACATATACGTTTTCACCATTTAGCTTTTACTACAACAGCGGCTGAAAGTGAAACAGTAAACCCAGCCAGAGCTCTGTCACCTCTCTCACCTAGCAGCTCCTTCACGTCGAAACATCTGTACATGAAACCAAGTCATTCCGAGGATCTGATGGAGCAAATCAAAGCTGTTGTTGATATCTTACTACAGACTATTACTGCGCGGTCTAAACGTAAGTGATACGTAGCGTTAACTCAGCACGATCGTAAACCAAACTAATAAAGCATTAAATACAGTAGTACTTAAAGACCATGTCAAGTCTGTTCTGCGCATCAGTTAGATCTGCTCATAACAAAGGGGGACCCACAGATATAAACATTGCCCAAATTTTGCATATTTTGAACTTTTTTGAATTGAAACATACTCTAGCTTATATTCATTTACAAGTATAGCGAACCAGAAAAGTGTTAGATATTCAGTTAGTATATCATATTTTACAAATATAGCAGTTCAAAATCTAAACAAAGGATTTGTTGACATTACGAACTTGACATGATGAAACCTATCTACAGTATACTTAAAGTGCCTATGCAAGAAAATTTTTTTTTATTGAATTGCAAAGTTCATTTGAAATCATAATGTAACTTTTTTTCTAAAACCTTGTTATCTTTCCTGTGTATCAAGATGATATTGGAATTTGTTTGGCATGCAAATATATGACTTAAGTGACGTCACACTGCATAGTGTATTTTACAGAAGACTGTGAGCCCAACTGTCTTTTAGTTTGATAAAATTGTCATTAACTCAAATTTGCAGACGAAATGATAGCTTTGATAGTTCTTAAAGTGTATAACTTTGAATGTCAGTGGAATTATCACATGTTTGGCGAGGAAACGTTTTCTTTCTAAAAACTCATTATGCAGTACGTCATTTAAGTCACATTTGCGTATCAAACAAAGTCGAAAATGTTGACATACAGGAAAGATAACAAAGTTGTAGAAAATACTTTGCAATTCGATCATAGAAAAATTCTTGCATAGGCACTTTAATGTAGTCGGTCATACAAGTCTCCGACGTGAAGTTATGGAACATCTGCGTCCTCTTTCGGTAGGCAAACACAGTGTGCAGTTTACAAGCCAACTGCTACAGATGAGTCTGGACTACGTGAATGGATTGATGCAAGATGCAGTCAATTATCTAGATCGAGAGATGGGGAGTAAGGTGGACAGAGAGCGTGTTCCACACATACTTACCTATCTTACTGCCAAGACTATGGAATTGAGGGCATTTCAGTACGGGATACCAGCGTTTCGGGGTGAAGGCAGAGAGTGCCAAGACGAGGGAGAGATACAGGATATTATATTTGAAAAATGGTCTGGAATGGACGATAAGGTGAGTTTGTTTGGATTATACTGTATACAGTCGAGAACAGTATGTGCCAAGTGTAGGTAGTGGCAATAATAATAAGAAAGATTTGGATTGGTAGGAATGAAACTACTGTACCTGAAAAATACAAGGAGAACTTCGAAGCGCCTTCGCTCGAAACGTCGAAGTTCTCCTTGTATTTTTCATGTAGTTGCATCCCTATGAATCCGAAGCTTTCTACAAAGTCAAGAGTCGAACAGGTTGTTCCATTAAAAAACTAGTTCATATAATTCTAAGACTGCAGTGTACAATGAAAAATACTTTTTCTTATCTTTCTGAGAATGGTTCTAAAAAGAATCGAAACATTGCGCGTCCTCCAATATACAAGCGTTAAGACTCGCTACCAATCTCTGTTGACTCGATAGCTCAACCTAACATTTTTAACTATATGACATTTCAGGATGTTATCAGCGATGCAATTCTTAGCTGTCACATTCCTTTGGCTCAAGGATATTTCCTGACTAAGACCGAGTCCAATACAGCACACGACGGATCTTTAAAGTACATTATCGAAACTGGACTGCGAATTGTTTTGGAGGTTTTGGCAAGAAAAGATATCGCGACCGCAACAGAAATGATACGAAATATGGTACTGTCTTTGGTTTGAAGATGTTATAAATCTCATGTTATAAGTTTTACCAACACTGAGCATTTTGTTGTGTTCTTTCAGGGAGAGGATGTAGTCCAACTGGTCAGAAATATTTGTCTGAAAACATTTGATCGTCCTTTGAGAGATTACTTGGTATGATTTCAATAATCTAGGAGAGCACTCGTGATCAAACTGATTGTCGCTAGTCAATATAAATAAAGTGACAGTAGACCAGTGGACCGATAAAAGAGAGCTCTCTCTAGGAAGAAAAATTTAGATGTGATAGAGCTATCCAGTATAGATAAAGTTATTTTAGTTCAGGTTTCCTCCTGTAGTAACACTGGATCAATAAGAGATGATATCCTAACTGGACCCCCAAGGAGAACAGTTTAGAACTTATGGAGGTACATGTATCCAGTATAGATAAAGTTAGTTTAGTTTAGGTTTCCTCCTGGCTGTAGTAACACTGGATCAATAAGGGGTGATATCTTTACTGGACCCCCAAGGAGAACAGTTTAGAACTGATGGACTGATGGAGGTATCCACTATAAATACAGATAGTTTAGTTTAGGTTTCCTCCCGTAACTGTATCAATGAGAAATGTTCCTCACTGGACCTCTATACATTAGGGAAAACATGCAGTTTAGAACTGATAGAGCTATCGAGTATAAATAAAGTCAGTTTATTGGACACACATAGTCATTACTAACAGTACACTTCTATTGTTTAGATCGAGCAGCTGCAAAGTTGGGGAGAACTACGAGAAGAGGAGATCAGTTCAGTGAAGTACCTCGCCACACTAGAAAGTATTTATGACAATCAATCATTTGAAAGTTGTCAAATACGACGATCCCAGCAGCAAGAAGATCTGTAAGTGAGGATCACAGTGGTCATACATAAAGCAAGCCTCGTTTACTCTATCAAAGTTTCTGTGATCACAGTAGGAATTTTGCGTAGGTAAATTCAAAGTTTTGAAGGATTTGTAAGAAATCTTTTAAGGAAACTGACTCACTGTTTAACATTAAGTCAGTTTCCTCAAACATTTCTAACAAATCCTTCTGAACTTAGAATTTACCGATGCAAAATTCCTACTGTGATCACAGAAAGTTGGACAGTGTGAACCTGCCTTTAAAGCCACAACTGAATCAAACTTTGTTTTCAGTTTTGATGACCTTGGTCTACTGCGGCATTCAATGGAGCCGCGCTCGCCACGCAGGAAAATTGTTCCTGTCAAAACGGGCAGTATTGCTCAACAATATCAAGCATCAATGGTAGGCATAAATTCATTTTACATGCATAAGCTGCTATTTCTGTGTCTGAACCGTACCCCAAAAAGATTCAGAATACTATACCATATATTCGATGTATTTAGATATCGCGTGTGGCGGGAGGTTACTGTGAAGTTTTACTGGACTGGATTATTTCTTGGGACACCAACACCAGAGAACGAATCTTACTGGAAATGTTGTCTCATGATGAAAAAGGTTATTATGAAAGATATCCCAAAGGAAATTACCTGGGCACACTCAACTATCTTTGTTTGTACTGGATAGTTTTATCACTTTTAAACTGTTGTTCCTAGAGGTCCCGTAAGGATCATCTCTTATTGTTCCAATGTTACTACAGGAGGAAACCTAAACTAAACTAACTTTATTTATACTGGATAGCTCTATCAGTTCTAAACTGTTGTCCCTGGACGTTCAGTAACAGCCATCCTCTATTGGTTAAGTGTTACTACAAGACGAAGCCTAAATTAAATATTATGTTACAATTATTTTATTCAATGTTTTATCTGTAGCCTTCCAGAACATGCATTGTATGGTATCAGAAAAATCTTTATGGCAATATTTAAAAGCTCATTGTGAGACAACTCGTATTATCGAGTGGATTGTTAATACTGCCCAAGCAGACGAGTCCTCAAACCTGCCTCCTTTAACACTGGAAACACGCAGTGATCTGTCTGAATGCACTGCCTTTGTTCAAGAATTTATCTTAGATGAACTAACTAGGTACAGTGTTAGAATAAAGTTATCCTACAGTACATACACGTACGTACATATTATACTGCATTGAATTTAAATTCAAGTATTGAAAGAACTAAGATTTAACTTTACACTGGGAAATTATTTTGGTGGCAATCTTAATTTGCCCGCGCCCCCCAACCCCCACCCCCTCCGCCTATATTTGACGAAGTGTCCACCACAGCCAGCTTTACAGCTCCAGATTTTGCTCTGAGTTATCACCATGACACTACCCAAATTGTGCCTTTTATTCCAATGCTGAAAACCGTGTCTATAAAGCTTACCGAAAACAGGCATATCTTAGTTTATAGCCATAGTACAAAACTGTGGCCAATAGAATAGAACAAAGGTAACTAGACATTAGGAATATATGTATTATCCAGTCATGTAGATAATTACAGAGCTTAGTTACTTTTGTTCTATTGTATATTTCTGTAAACTAGAAGAATAGTAACTAGGTATGTGAGTTATCTAATGTTGTCAAGAAACGTTAGCCAAATTTGTCTATTACATTTCTACGATAATTTTTCATTTCAGAAATGGGCTTTTTTCAAGCAACCTACTACAAGACTTTCCCCGCCTTCTTCGACACCTTTGCCGCACCGACACGCTGTTTATGAAAATCCATCCGCTGCATGAAGTTGCAAAGACGTGTGGTCCGAGTCAAGAACCTGGACCCGAGGCTGTACACTCCACCAAAACATTTCACCAGAAGTTGATCAAATATTGCTCCGAAAATAATTTCATGAATTTGTTGTATTATTATTTGGATTTTTACAGGTAAACTGTGCTTTTGGAGAATAGTGAGACCTTTAGAGAGAACAGTTTAGAACTGATAGTACAAATAAAGTTAGTTTAGTTTAGGTTCCCTCCTGTAGTAACACTGGATGAATAAGAGATGATCCTTACTGAACCTCTAAGGAGTACTAGGAAGAACAGTTTAGAACTGATAGAGTTATCCTGTACAAATAAAGTTAGTTTAGTTTAGGTTTCCTCCTGTAGCAACACTGGATCAAGAGATGATCCTCACTGAACCTCTAGGGAGAACAGTTTAGAACTGATAGAGCTATCCAGTACAAATAAAGTTAGTTTAGTTTAGATTTCCTCCTGTAGTAATATTAACTGGATCAATAAGAGATTACTTTTACTGGACCTCTAAGAACAAACGAAACGATGCAGCTATCTGGTATAATATATGAGCAGACGTTAACAAGATTTTGATGTTTTGTTTATTTATATCAGACTATGCCAGACCACGGATGAATGTGAAGAACTTCTGTCTGATGGTGTCGACAATGAAGTTGATATGTTACTGAAATTTCGTCTGGTTGGTTTGTATCCTTCGGGTAAGATTTCAAAAAATGGCGAATTCTGTTCCAAACTATTTTCTATGCTTATTTTCTATTTTATTTCAGATCCGTCAGTGATGAGCTCGATGAGTTTTTCAAACAGCAAAGCGATATTTCGGTCAACGTCCTTCTCCATCAGGGAAATGCTGGACAACAAGCGACCAATCATGGCAATCGCAACCTGTCTATACGCACCTGTTGCGATGGCAAAGGTAACGGAAATTTGCTTTGGTTTCTGGAAACACCACGAATAAGATGCGCATGCTCATCTCACACATGTCGCACGATTCCCCGTTATTTCACGGAACTCACAGGACGTCGGTAGCGCAATCATCCAAGCAAATGTCTTTCACCTTGGAGATCGCGGATTCCGATTCTCACTGTGGAATCATGACACTTATGTGAAAAGAGTCGGTCAATGTTCTACCGAACGTCGTGGGTACTCCGGTTTCCTCGAAATTCCTCCCACAGGAAGTGTTGACAGTGTGGGTTGGGATTATCCCCCTAACTGACCCTTTCACCGTGGCTGTGCTCCATGATCAGACAGAGTCATAAAGGCCATTTTCCATTGCAGTCGCTTTGCCCGCGCGGGCGGAGCGACCAATTTTAATCATGTGAAAAAATCAGTCGCGCGGGCACGCCAAGAAAGTTGAATGTAGTTCTACTTTCATGGCGTGTCCGCGAGCATTCAGGCGGACAAAAAATGCACAGGTTAGGCAACTACAGAGAAAGTTGAGTAATGTTCGCTCCGCCCACACGGGCAAAGCGACTGCAATGGAAATTGGCCTTAAGCTGGCTGCCAGAGGCCTTCTTACAAAGCCTTCGACTCGAGCAGGTTGAGTTGCGTCCTTCGCAATTCAGCTTAGTTCTCAGCTGCAAGTAAGGATGATTAATAATTATTTATTTGTTTGTTTGGCTATACTTGGAAACTTAATGAGCGCAAATATTATTCCTTCACTCACAAAATGTATGATCCATATTGCATCGTCTTTTTCACAGATTTTAAATCCCAGTACAAGAAGTGAAGATGTTTGGCATTTGGATGAAAGAATTTTAAGAAGTTCCCTCAGCGGTTATCCTAGACTATCTTCTGCTTTGTTCCCAAGATCTGCCAACCAGAACCTCAAGGAAAATCCCGATATCACACTCTACGAACTGCTACAGGTAATTCCTACAGATCGGAAGACCCACTTTTCTGTTGTGTTTATTTCCTGTATGTAAGAAATGAAAAATGTTTCGCTGGCGTTCACTGAGTTTTTGAAGCTTGAAAAAATTAGCCTCAGTGCAAGTCGCAAATCAACTCATGAGATAACGGTCTAAACAACGTGGAATTTTCGGTATAGCGTAGTTTGAGCATGAAAATTTCAATTCTGGGACTATTTTTGCTAAAGTGCTGTACATATATAGCGAGGTGGAAAATTGATGACGGTAGCTAAGAAATTATGTTTGTATTTTATTTGATGGCTTGGTTCGGGTCTCAAATTTAATGGTATTCATGGTTTATTGTTGTTTTAGGGAAATTGCTCGTTTGAAATCTCTGGCTTGTTTTCATGGCAATCGACAAATAATCTGGCAATAAATGGAGGTACATGATTATAGATGGAAATTACGAGTGTAATTTTTTGCCATTTATGAGACTCGACCTATAGGCAACTAAGCCTATATTTGCATTTTTACCAACTGCTCCTGGTTGGGTTGATAAATGTATAAATATGTCCAATATAGCCATCGGTTGTCAGGTGGTGAAGATGGTGTAAGGTCAAATGCTTTGTTTGTCAGATGCTTTGTTTGTCAGATGCTTGTAGTGTGGCGTCAGATGGTGTAGGATGGTTAGATACCCAGCTGTTGTCTGGTGGTGAAGATGGTGTCAGGGGGGGGGGGGGTATTTGTTAACCTACAATTGTGCATATATTGTGTTGCCTCGTTCTTTCAAAAACATTTATACCAACACTACAATTCAATTGTGCATGATATACAGTACAGTATATTGTGTTGCCTCGTTCTTTAAAAAACATCTATACCAACACTACAATTCAATTGTGCATGATATACAGTACAGTATATTGTGTTGCCTCGTTCTTTCAAAAACATCTATACCAACACTACAGTTCAATTGTGCATGATATATATTGTGTTGTCTCGTTCTTTCAAAAACATCTATACCAATAATGATAAATAGTTGGCCCGGGCTAGCGATCAAAATCTTTGCTAAAATAAATACATTTTATGTCGCTCGTAGGTGTATCAACGGACATGCCTCATTTCTCACACAAGGCGCTGGTGGAAAGATTCGGACACAAAGAAACTCTGACTTATGTTTATTTCCTGAGACATGGTCGACCCTCCTTCGCATATGCCTCCTTCATGACAAAATACCAGCACAGGAAATATATTCCAAAAACAAGGTATAGTAAACTAGATAATACAATTATCACTTGTATTCCCGAGGTCTCAGTAAATAAGTGTTTTACTATATAACAAGTGTCAAACAGTCAAAGTTTCAATAATTTAAAAAAAAATCAAACTCAAATTCTATTCCCAACTCAAATTGAATTCCCAGCTCAAATTCAGTTCCCAGCTCAGGTTCAAATTGCAGCTCAAATTAAATTTCCAGCTCAAATTTAATTCCCAGCTCAAATTCAATTCCCAGCTCAGGATCAAATTGCAGCTCAAATTCAATTTCCAGCTCAAATTCAGAGAGTTAAGTGTTAGCGCCTGGTGTTAGCGCGCGAACAACATCCTGTTATCGTCAACATCCCTGCTTTCTCATTGATAGTGTCACGAAAGCGACAAAGAAAACTTATCAACTGGCTGTCACACATTTCGACAACAACCGCATTGTATTCAGTTGTGTGGCGTTCCTAGAACTACTTTCTGTCGACACCACGTTTCTCAGAATCGACGTCGCCGCCGCCAAACGTTGCTTACATCCGGGGAACAAGGGGGAACTCCAGTGTTCCACGATCGAGGAATTGAAAAATATTGTAGTGGCGAAATTATTGAAGTGTGCTAGAGACAAACAGCAGAAACCTAAGGTGTTGGTCAGGATTTTGGAATCGTCGACCAAGAGTATTATTAGCAAAGAAGGCCTTGAACGGTTAGTTGGGTTAATGTATTTAGTGAATGGACCTACTTCCTAATGAACAAAATTTTGATCTGGACAAGTCTACACAAAAATTTTATCACAGCTTATCAAGTTTCGTTGCGAAATGTTGTAAAATGCGGATAATATAGCCGTGCGAAGTTTGCCGTTTTTCAGTCATTTTGTATTACGCACGGGAAATTGATACCTTTTTTTTAGAAAGCGGTATCAATTTCCCGTGCTTGATACAAAATGACTGAAAAACGGCAAACTTCGCAAGGCTATATTATCCGCATTTTACAACATTTTGCAACGAAACTTCGGAATATTACTAATTTTGTGGTGCTCTTTCAAGCTGTGGTTAAATGTTTGTCTAGACTTGTCTAGATCAAAATTTGTTCATTAGGGAGTAGGTCCATTTGTCTTGAATAATGTTCTCCCTAGAGGTCCAGTAAGAGTCATCCCTTATTGATTTGGAAACTGAAGTACTTTCTCACTGAATTGTAAGCAGACGACGAGTGTATATTGCAGGATGAAACATTGGCAAGAGAGACGAAATACACACACACTGAACGAACTAAATGTATTCCTGTCGTTTCAGAACGTCAAGAGAAGCCAGTCAGTATTGGTCATTACCTGTTCTGTTCTGCCGTTCACACAACATGACCCTAACACCTGCGTTCTTGATTGACTGTGCAAAGGCTGACAAGTGGCTGACATTCTTATGTCATGCACAGGCAGCTCAGTTTCCTAAAAATCAGGTATGATGTCAAACCCCGGTACAGCACACTCTGATTTAGATACTTAAGCCCGGTCAACCGAGGATGAGAGTTGATCAGAGTTGGCCGTCACGCATTGTTACAGGGATATTTCAAGCTCTAGATTAGCAAAATAAAGGTTTGATGAATGTTCCAACTATGTTTTAACTTAAATATAATACATGATAGTGTTGGGAAAGCATTAAGAACAGCTAACCAAGCTCGCGTGACTGCCAACTCTCGTGCACTCTCATCCTCGTGTGATCCGGAATTTACAGTACCAACACGACGCAATATTACTATCCTAACCTCTCTAGGTGTTGAGTATTGCCCAACATCATTTTGACAGCAATACTCTGAAAGAACATCTTCATCAAGCCTTGGTTAACATTGTTACGGTGGATATCAAAGACGGTGGGACCCCAAAACGGAAAGGGAAGGTAATTTTGTGCACCAAACCTATACCAAACGATGTTTATTTATACTGGATATGTCTAGCAGTTCAAAACTGTTCTCCCTAGAAGTCCAGTAAGGATCATCTCTTATTGATGCAGTGTTACTACAGGAGGAAACCTAAACTAAACTAACTTTATTTATACTGGATAGTTCTATCAGTTCTAAACTGTTCTTCCTATAGAGTTCCCGTAAGAATCATCTCTTATTGATGCAGTGTTACTACAGGAGGAAACCTAAACTAAACTAACTTTATTTATACTGGATAGCTCTATCAGTTCTAAACTGTTCTCCCTAGAGGTCCAGTAAGAATCATCTCTTATTGATGCAGTGTTACTAAAGGAGGAAACCTAAACTAAACTAACTTTATTTATACTGGATAGCTCTATCAGTTCTAAACTGTTCTTCCTAGAGGTCCAGTAAGGATCACCTCTTATTGATCCAGTGTTACAGTAGGATGAACTCTAAACTTTTTTCCAATTTTCATTCATTGTTCAGTTTCCTCCAACAAGAAGGGACATTCGTTCCCAATACCTTTCACGTGTTATCGGAGTCTCGCAGTCACCCGGAAAATCCGAAATGATGTCAAAGACTCCGGAAAGACCCGAACCACAGGCGGCAGCTGGCGAACCTGCAGAAGCGTCAACTGAGCTTGAGTTTGAACTGGATAGCGAACTGAAATTGGATGAAGGGGAAGGATTGGAGGATGAGCATGAACTGGAAATGAAATCTGGAGTAACTGCCACGAATGGTAGGGAGAAGTACAGGGCTTTAGATCTGTCGTCATTCTCTTGCATGACTTCTGTACAACATCAGATAGCTTTAGGGTAGCTCACATTCAAGAACATGTACTACCTCTGCATGATCTAACCATGCTTAACTCAGCAGTGAGTTCTGTACAACATCAGATCACTTTAAGGTAGCTCACATTCAAGAACATGTACTACCTCTGTATGATCTAACCATGCTTAACTCAACAGTAAGTTCTGTACAACATCAGATCACTTTAAGGTAACTTACAATCAAGAACATGTACTACCTCTACATGATCTAACCATGCTTAACTCAGTAGTGAGTTCTGTACAACATCAGATCACTTAAAGTAGCACACATTCAAGAACATGTACTACCTCTGCGTCATCTAACCATGCTTAACTCAGAAGTGAGTTCTGTACAACATCAAATCACTTTAACGTAGCCCACATTCAAGAACATGTACTACCTCTGCATGATCTAACCATGCTTAACCAGGCTCAGCAGTCAGTTCTGTATAACTTCAGATGATTTTAAAGTAGTCCACATTCAAGAACATGTACTACCTCTGCACGATCTAAACATGCTTAACTCAGCAGCAAGTTCGGTACAAAATCAGATCACTTTAAGGTAGGCCACATTCAAGATCATGTACTAAACCTCTGCATGATCTAACCATGCTTAACTCAGCAG